AGGGTGAGTCTATCCCTTCTCTGAATAATAATTTAAACATTATTTGTATTCCTAGTAAATAAACGTATTGAATTTTTTCACTTTGTTTTTTACTAACCTTTGTTAATAGTTCTTCAACCATATATTTTTTTAAAAGATTTAATTTATGTTGTTCATATGTTGTCCTTACATCTATGATTTTTTCTATTTTGTGATATTCATTTATTGCTATCCTTTCTCTTTTCCAAATTCTATCTAAAACTTCTCATTTCCCTATTTTTAAGTCTAAAGATAATTTTTGTAATTTTCTAAATTTATTGTTATCAAAAGTAACTTTTAATCTATATCCCTCTATTCTTTCATATTCTTATATATTTATATTATTACTTTTATTTCCTCTATTTCCTTATTCAGATTCCGATTCATCATCATCTGTTTCACTTATATAAATTTCTTGATTATAATATTCTTCAATGTTTGATATTTCACTCAATTCATCTTTTATTTTCAAATATTCTTTTTGTAATATTTTAACTTTTTTTTATCACAATCAGGACTTATATAACATATTTCTCCACAATTCCAACATTTACATTGACTTTTATTTTTCTTATAACTTTTATATTTCTGTTGACCATACGAGATTTTTTTTAATAATATCTTCTTCAAGGCTTTATATATTTTTTTATTAAAATTTCTAAATTTTTTAAATTTTAAATTTTTATATTTTCTTTTATTAACCATTCTTTCATGATTACATCCCCATTGTATAGAATTTTTCATATCTTCATAAAATATTCTAGTTAGTTTTCCTGATTTTTTCATTGATTGTCTTTGTTGACATATATATACAAGTCTTTCAAATAAAAATTTTATTCTTGAACCTAAAGTTCTAGGTATTCCAACATTATCTCTAACTTATTTTTCAAATTCTATTTTAAAATATATTCCCCATGAACCTGCTAATTTATTATAATACATATCTTGGTATACTTCTTAGTTTTCATTACTATAAAATTGAACATAATAATAATTTCTAAATTCACAAGTATATTATTTAATTTTACACATATCATATATTATTAAATTTATTAGTTTAATTCTAGCATTATCTTTTTCTCTTATTTCTCCTCTTTCAGCATTTTTTATCCAATTTTCTTCTAAAAATTCATCTGAAATATATTCTACTAACTTTTTATACCTTGTTTATCTGATTTTATTATTTACGTTTGCACATTTCTTTTTATTAATATTTTTGTATCATTACTTATTCATTCCCACCAATTTCTAAAATCTCATTCAAAGGATACTATTAAGAAATTTATTATTTTTTCAGCATTTTCTCATATGTCATCTTTATTAAATAAAAAGAATAATATCATTGAATCTGTCCAAGTTAATAAGGCTTTTTTAGTATCTATTTTACAATTTAAATCTAATTTTGTTCTTCCATGGTTAAGAGGTTTATCATAATTATCATTTTATTCAAACTTGTCTCTATATTATTTCCCTTAGGTGGTTGTCTATCTCTTATTTTATCATAAAATTGTCCATATAATTTATTATATATAGGTGCATAACTTTCATCTAAATCTTGTAATTCTTGTTTAGAAGTTTCTATTGGATTATGTCTTCCTCTAATATTCATTAAAACTTGGTAGTCACTTATATCAGTTAAACTTAATTGATCAAAATTTTCTATAAGTAAGTCTAATTCTTCATTAATCTTTATCTTCTTTTTCTTCTACTTTTAATTTTTCTAATATTTTTTCTCTAGATTCTTTTTCTTCTAATATTTTTGGTAATATATTTTTTCTAAATTTATCATCCATACTTCATGTTCCTATTATTACACTCTCTTTCTCAATATATTTTTTCCCTATTCGAGTCATTTTTTTTTCTATTAATTTTTTTATCTATTTTCTTCTCTTTATTTTTATTATTATTTTTAATTGTCTAATTTAAATCTTTAGCATATTTATATTGTTTCTTGTTTCTCTTACTTCATTTCTTAAATCTTGTATATCATTTATTAACATTTTTATTTATGACTTTAATTCTTCCATATATTCACTTATTGACATATTAAAATCATTTTTCTAACATATACGTTAACTTACATCTTTTATCTTCTTTTTTCTCTATTATTTTTTCCAAATTTTTTGTTGTCTATAACTGGATCTATTAAATCTTCTTTTAATATACTAAAATATTTACTCTCAAGTCTTAATCTTTCACATTTTAATTTTTTTAATTGTTTTTATTTGACACTCTTATTCCTTCTGGTATTAGCATTATATCTTGTATTTCTTCCTGTATTTTTTTCATTTTTATAAGTAACTTATTTAATTTCAAATTTGTATTATTATTATTCATATTTCTCTTTATAATATAAATTAATCTCTTCATCTTCATATTCTTTAATAATTTTTTCATACATATATAGTTCTTTTATCAATCCTACTATTAATTTTTCTAATATTTGTTCTTTTATTTTTTTAGATAAATCTTCAACTATTGTTAATGTCATTATTTTTAATTTATTAGAAATAGGTTTTAAAAATATATAACTTCCTCTTTCTTCTTCTAATTTATAATAATTATCTATTTTTCTTATTTTAATTTCCATGATCTCTATACTTTTATCAAGATGTAAATATAAATATTTGTATATTATAATTAATTATTATTTTAAAGATGTATAATCTAAATATTTCTTTAAATTTATAATAATTAATCTATTATTTATTAAATTTACATAAAATCTAAGTGTTAACCTAAATCTAAAATTTTTTATTTCTTCATATAATCTATTTTTTATGGGTTTCCTCATGATCTCTATGACTCTGATACCAATTAGGGGGTGCTATTAGAGCAAACAAAAATCAAATAAATCTATAAACAATAAATCTATCAAAAATCAAGTAATATTTAATTTTAAGGACTAAAATGCAAGATTTTTATATTATAGTGACTCACTGACTTGTTATGTAATATTTAAATGAAGGGTATTTTAGGTATATAAATTGACCAAAAGTCATTTTGGAAAAATGGCCCCTTTCTATGGGCCATTTTCACGTATTTCTCCTTCCTAGTCAAGATAGATGGGAAGGAGTCCTAAGAAGTGTTGAAAGATGGTAAACTCTAAAATGAATGATGAAAACAAGGGAGTTGGCGGATAAAGATGGTCCCGTAAAGAGGTAGAGGTTCTCAATAGGGCAGAAAGAGAGAAGATAGTAAAGGTTCGGTTGGAATCAATGAATGTGCTGCAATGGAGATGGAGATCGAGACGGGTGTGAAACCAGCCCTTAAATTACGGAGCATAACTTTTTCGACTGAAAATTGATTTATGAAATATTTTCAATTATATTTCACTTCTTTGACCTCCAATTGATCATATGTAATCTTCAATCATCATTTTATTGTCAAATCAATTATTGAATATTTACACTTTGGCCCTTGAACTTTGAATTTCTTTCATTTTTGCCCATTTTCCCTTCATTTCTTCCGATTCACCTAATTTTTCTCAAGTTTTGAATAACAAACAAAATTGACAATAAACAAAGCCTAAAGTCAACAAAATTAACAACAATTAATCACATTTATTTAAAGATCCAAATAAATGTATACTTATCAAACATCCCCAAATTTGAACAGTTGTTTTCGTCAAGCAAAATAGACATAGACTAAAATAATTTTTTTAACCAAACATAATTGAATAATTTATGTATGAAAATTATAAAATACTACAAAATCACAATGCTAAAATTTAATTTTTACTTATCCAATGCAAAATCGACGTGTTTGTATGAAAATTCAGGCCAAGCATCATAAATTTATAAAGCGATTTAAGCTTTGAGCCTCAATAGTCAAATTTATCATTCTCTCGTGCGATTCACATCCCAAACTTATTTTTTTTTAACTCTTTCTCAAGGTGCGATCTAAAGTTGAATTTATATACTAATTATCACCATCTCTAGTTCAATTAGATCTTACTAATTATAGCTCAACACATCAACAAATGATGATTCTCAGTATTTTTTTATTGTGTTAACTTCTAAAAACCAACTAAACTAACAACCCCTTGTCAAAGGTCTAATTCTCTAAAATAAATGTTTGATATTTAATCAAAGAATGTAGTGCATCTTCTAAATGATCATTGTAGTGATCTTTTGGTCAATAACTCCAAAGTCAAATAACTATAGGGTACCAAGTTTTAGATGGCCTTTAAAGCTTAACCACTCGAATAATAAAGGCTATGAATAGAAGCTTCACAATGAGACAAATTTTTTTTTTATGGAATCTACATTTATCTCGTTGTCTTCCTACAATGGCTCAATTTCTCCAAAAATATCCTAGAATTGGTTTAAAAATGTATAATAAAGTGGTTTTTAGAATTTAGCATTCGAGGTTCACTATTTTTTTTTAACATATTCAAACTTTATATCAAATTAATCATTCATGATTCAAAACATAAATCTTGTGCCCAAAAACATTAAATTTATGAATAAGTATAGATTAACCATAACATGCAACTTTTCAACAATTTATAATCCAATAAATGGTTCCAAATATATGCATCATATTAGACAAATTTATATAACCTACACAAGCACACAAAGTAATAACAAAATTGAAAATAATTTTTTTTTTATTTTGATTTTTTAATTTTTTTATGTGAGCAAGCACACAAAATAAAAAATAAAAAATAAAAATAGAACTCGATGTTTTCCACCCCCCCCCCCCTTTATAAGGAGCTCAAACGTACCCTAAAGGAAAATATGAGGATGAAGATATATTATGGTTATCTACTCGACGAATAAAACAAGTTATTCCATTCAATTTTATGATTCGACTATTGAATTATGTCCGAATACTTAACCGAAGTTGATAGAAATCAATTTTTCAGGGTTTTACTTAACCAATTGCAACTTACTTTAAACCAAATTCCAACATTTTATGATGGTCGGAAAACATATGAAAAGATGGTTATTGTCCCTAATTCATACATCAAAACGAATAAAGAGGCTTCTCTACATGAGAAATCATATTGAAGAGAAAGATCAAGAACTCACAATAATCTTTGTTTCCATGGATCAAGGTACACTTTTGTTCTTATTTACTTCGTGATTTGACATGAAGGATTTAGGAATGTATATAAGATTTTTTATATAAAGTTGTACGGATTTAAATTTTCTAACGCGTACGAGATGCCGAAGAACAAGGGAAAGGGCGGTAAGAATCGCAAGAGAGGGAAGAACGATGCTGTTTTTGATGAGAAGCGTGACCTCGTGTTCAAAGAAGATGGGCAGGAATATGCTCAGGTTTTGAGGATGTTGGGGAATGGCCGATGTGAAGCCATGTGCATCGACGGCGTCCAGCGTCTCTGCCATATCCGTGGTAAATTGCATAAAACGGTCTGGATCGCCGCCGGTGATATCATCCTCGTCGGTCTCCGTGACTACCAGGTATTAATATATTATTATTTGTGTGAATTAGTGTTTTGATTTTTCTATTTTGAAGAAATTGAGATCTTAGGTTAAATTAGTTTTGGCTGTGTGTAGTATTTGGTGAATTTATGGATCAATATGGTGTCCTTTTTTGCGTTTTCTCTTTTCAAGTTGTTCATTAATTTTTATGCAGTCTCAAACTGAGTTTTTTACTTCTATGGAGCTCAACGGCTACCATGAAGTAAACAAATTGCACTTTTGAATTCATATATAATATAACTTCTCTGCTTGTGGTTATTGAATATTCTAGCTTTATAAATCTTTTAAGTATCTGGGATTTTTTTTTTTTATATAGATTTTGCGAAATGAAATCAATCTTTTATCAGGGAAGGATTTTCTGAGTTTTCTAAATACTGCAACCATCAGTTTTAGTTTTTCCATTAATGATCAAAGAAGGATATTAGCAAATAAAAGTACGCGTTTAAAGAAACTGGAGAAATATATCAGCCCCTTAATTGAATTTCTTGTTTTGGTCGAATATAAATGAAAGAATTTTCCGAATTCAAATTCTGAAGATTCACTTGTTTGTTTCCCATAGGACAAAAAGGCTGATGTAATCCTGAGGTACTTCGCATATGAAGCCCGGTTGTTGAAGGCCTATGGCGAGCTGCCGAATAGCATAAGGATCAATGAGGGTATTGCTGGTGAGCTGCCGGATAGCACGATGATCAATGAGGATAATGGTGATTACATTGAGTTTGAAAATCCGGAGACTTCGTACGTAAGAGGTTTGTCACTCTTTGTTCCCTCCCAATTTATAATACTTTCCCTTCGCTACAAGTAAAAAGCCGACCGATAATAAAAGTATGTTTAAAATCCGAATATATACATCTTATGTGTAACCCATTTGCAAAACATGGTGATAGCGAGTGAGAATTTGGTTCTGCATTGGCCTCTGCGGCTAAATGTTAAAGGCTAGTACTCGACCAGTCTTTAGCCGACCTTAAAGAGGAGACGAGATAGACATCAGGAGAAGCAACACTATTTGTGCTCAGTTGATGCTTATCAACCTTGTTCAAGAACGGTAATGACTTTAAAAGTGATGGCTAGAAACAAGATTTTGGGGGCTAGAAATTTTTTGCTTTCCTTAAGGAGTTCCAGTTCGTATAGACGACTAGATAAAACATACATCATTGTTGAGGATGAGAAATAAAACAGGAACATAAACGAGCTCGGGTGAATTGGACCAAATAAAATATATAATATATACGTTCCACAAAAATAGATTTGTTTTCATTTCCCCAGAGATTAAGAAAATATATAATTAACATGGTTGAAAATATAAATTTTTTCTCACACTTTTTTCTAATATATCTCTCTATTAGATGATGGTTTAAATTAAGCCTGGGCATTTTAACCAAAATGAATCTCCGAACGAGAACCAAAGATTCAGGTTTGGTTAAAAAAAAAAAAAAAATCGGAATCGAGGACCGATGGGGTCCGAGTCGATTATTGGTCCCTGAACCAAAATCATGGATATTTGAATGGAATCGATTTTTTTATATAATTTAATTTTTAGATTGGGTAAAAAAAAATAAAAAATATATTAACTTAAAAATCCAAACTTTGGCAGTAATTTGCCTAAATTTCTAATTTTAAGAAATCAAGACTAGCTCCTACTTTTTGTCTCTCGCCTAACATGAAATTGTTGCATTTCAAAAGTTTATACATGTTAATCTTTACAATTTGAGTTTTCTATGAATCATAAAGTTCAAGCTAGGTTGAGGTGCAAATTCATGTATCAAAGCGTTCATTTTTTTTTAGTTCTAGCTTTTTACTTTTTTCTTTACTTCTTTAGAGGGAAGAACGATGCTGTTTTTGATGAGAAGCGTGACCTCGTGTTCAAAGAAGATGGGCAGGAATATGCTCAGGTTTTGAGGATGTTGGGGAATGGCCGATGTGAAGCCATGTGCATCGACGGCGTCCAGCGTCTCTGCCATATCCGTGGTAAATTGCATAAAACGGTCTGGATCGCCGCCGGTGATATCATCCTCGTCGGTCTCCGTGACTACCAGGTATTAATATATTATTATTTGTGTGAATTAGTGTTTTGATTTTTCTATTTTGAAGAAATTGAGATCTTAGGTTAAATTAGTTTTGGCTGTGTGTAGTATTTGGTGAATTTATGGATCAATATGGTGTCCTTTTTTGCGTTTTCTCTTTTCAAGTTGTTCATTAATTTTTATGCAGTCTCAAACTGAGTTTTTTACTTCTATGGAGCTCAACGGCTACCATGAAGTAAACAAATTGCACTTTTGAATTCATATATAATATAACTTCTCTGCTTGTGGTTATTGAATATTCTAGCTTTATAAATCTTTTAAGTATCTGGGATTTTTTTTTTTTATATAGATTTTGCGAAATGAAATCAATCTTTTATCAGGGAAGGATTTTCTGAGTTTTCTAAATACTGCAACCATCAGTTTTAGTTTTTCCATTAATGATCAAAGAAGGATATTAGCAAATAAAAGTACGCGTTTAAAGAAACTGGAGAAATATATCAGCCCCTTAATTGAATTTCTTGTTTTGGTCGAATATAAATGAAAGAATTTTCCGAATTCAAATTCTGAAGATTCACTTGTTTGTTTCCCATAGGACAAAAAGGCTGATGTAATCCTGAGGTACTTCGCATATGAAGCCCGGTTGTTGAAGGCCTATGGCGAGCTGCCGAATAGCATAAGGATCAATGAGGGTATTGCTGGTGAGCTGCCGGATAGCACGATGATCAATGAGGATAATGGTGATTACATTGAGTTTGAAAATCCGGAGACTTCGTACGTAAGAGGTTTGTCACTCTTTGTTCCCTCCCAATTTATAATACTTTCCCTTCGCTACAACTAAAAAGCCGACCGATAATAAAAGTATGTTCAAAATCCGAATATATATATCTTATGTGTAACCCATTTGCAAAACATGGTGATAGCGAGTGAGAATTTGGTTCTGCATTGGCCTCTGCGGCTAAATGTTAAAGGCTAGTACTCGACCAGTCTTTAGCCGACCTTAAAGAGGAGACGAGATAGACATCAGGACAAGCAACACTATTTGTGCTCAGTTGATGCTTATCAACCTTGTTCAAGAACGGTAATGACTTTAAAATTGAAGACTAGAAACAAGATTTTGGGGGCTAGAAATTTTTTGCTTTCCTTAAGGAGTTCCAGTTCGTATAGACGACTAGATAAAACATACATCATTGTTGAGGATGAGAAATAAAATAGGAACATAAACGAGCTTGGGTGAATTGGACCAAATAAAATATATAATATATACGTTCTACAAAGAAAGATTTGTTTTCATTTTCACACAGATTAAAAAAAATATATAATTAATATAGTTGAAAATATAATTTTTTTTCTCACACTTTTTTCTGATATATCTCTACATTAAATGATGGTTTAAATTAAGCCTGGGCATTTTAACCAAAATGAATCTCTGAACGAGAACCAGAGATTCACATTTGGTTAAAAAAAAAAAAAAATTGGAATCAAGGACCGATGGGATCCAAGTCGATTATTGGTTCCTGAACCAAAATCATGGATATTTGAATGGAATCGATTTTTTTATATAATTTAATTTTTAGACTGGGTAAAAAAAATAAAAAAATATATTAACTTAAAAATCCAAATTTTGGCAGTAATTTGCCTAAAATTCTAATTTTAAAAAATCAAGACTAGCTCCTACTTTTTGTCTCTCGCCTAACATGAAATTGTTGCATTTCAAAAGTTTATACATGTTAATCTTTACAATTTGAGTTTTCTATGAATCATAAAGTTCAAGCTAGGTTGAGGTGCAAATTGATGTATCAAAGCGTTCATTTTTTTTTAGTTCTAGCTTTTTACTTTTTTCTTTACTTTTTTTTTTTTTTTGCATTATTCACAAATAGGGATGGCAATAAAATTGCCCCGTCCCGAACCCAGCCCCGTGAAGGAAAAATTAAGAGGATTAAAAATAATTTTATTTTTAGACAATTCACCCATTAAAAACTCATTTTGAATTTTTATTTTATTCCCTAATAATAACATAACTTGAATATTTGAAAATGTAAAAACAAAAAATAAAAAATAAATTAAACGGAGCAAAAAGTTGCCCAACCCCCGCCCCATCTAAGGCTGGGCAGGGCGGGATTTGGGGCCACCCAGCCCTGTTGCCATCACTATTCACAAACTTAAGTGGTTTTTATTTTTTATTTTTCTTATAATGCGTGGCAATTGTACTTGATATGTTCATAGCTTGGGCTGTGATGTACCTTTTTTATTTTCTTGAGTTTGTGGTTCCTTTTAAAAAATAATTTATCTTTTTTTATGAAAACAAAGCGAATTCAATACATGGACCATAATTTATTAATACTATATAATAATGTATCTAATTAGCTTTTTATATCGGTTAGTTTTAAGAGTTGAAGAATGTGATCGAGACCCACAATTTAATAAGTTTTGACCGAGAAATAACTTGTGGGTTATAAAAATTATGATTTGCTACCCATTAAGAAATTGTGACATGTAAAATTTTTGATTTGTGACTTATAAAATTTTTTATTCGTGATCAAGAAATAATTCGTAACCAATTAATTCGATAATCTGTGACCAAATAATATAGAATTGTTATCTTAATATATTTTATTAACAAAATATATTTTTAATTATAAAAAAATTTAATTAATATCTGATTTTTGAAATTTTAAATATTGTTTCTTAATTTTGAAATAGGCATAACTTAAGCTCTTAGATATGAAATCTTCCCATACTTTTCCGCTATTGGTATAAATTGCCCAAAAAATTGTAATGAAAAAAAAAATCATAAACACCTTACATATATATATAAAAATTCACTTTTTACTACTTTACTAAAATAAATATTGAAATTACTGCATCACTCGAAAATAAAACCAGAATTACTGTGACCAAAGCTTTCCATATTTTTACCCATAACTAAAGACGACCACACAAATTGGAAACTAATGGACTTAAATGTGAATTCTGAATACGTGAGAAAATAAATTCAAATTGAGAAATTAATGATACGATATGAGCAACAACGGTGGCAGTGACGAATCCAACTTCGGGTCTGTGCTGAATTCGGCACTGGTGGAGTTTTATCTTGTGTTAAATATAGATTGCGGACTTTCATCGAATCGATTCTCAGAAGAACATCATTTGAGAAAATTGGTATTCAATGAGTATAGGTAATTTATTCGAACTCTTAATTGCTACACTGTATTTCCCTTGTTTATGTAATCTTACGGAGAATTTTTCCAATGATCTGTTTTGGTTGATGTTGCTGAATTCCTCAAAAATCAATTTCGGTTTACGAAGATGTTCTGTATTTTCGAGTACGGGTTCCCAATCAAAATAAAAGTTAAGTTTGTGTTCACAATGAATGGAAGTTCTGTAAACACAGTACGCATATTTTAATTTAATTCTCTTTTTTTATTCAGATAAGGAATATATGAACGTCTTCGGAACATTTAATGGCAAGGAATTTGATCTTCTATTAGCTAATGGAATTAAGTATGCGGATCTTGTCGAGTTTTTGACCGACGAGATTAAAGTCGATAGAAAGACTTCTTGCTTGAAGATAGTTTATGATGTGGGTGATAACATGGCTCCTGTGAATATAACAAATGACAATTCACTTATGTTGTATATGGAGCTAAAGAAGAAGGATCCTCGTATTACCGCATATGCACTACACGTTGAAGTAGTGAAAATGTCGAACTAAAATTCGGATGAAGTTCAACGCCCATGCCCTATCCTCGATGGGAACCTCATCTATTGTGTATACATATGCATCCTTCAGGTACAGTAGTCCCAACAATGCAGGGCTTTGCAACAATAATGTAAATAGTAAATCAGCCACCAGTTGATCTTGTTTCATATTAGGGATTTCGGCTTGTTTTCAAACATTTCAAGGTAATATCACGTCCCCGAGCATGATATCAATTTGCTGCAGATTTGTATGTACTATGGTCAGTTATGATATATGAATGTGTGTACTAAGTAGATTTCGTGTTATCTTACACAATCATTTTAATTTTTCTATGCAATAACTTCGATGAGGGTTTTGTAATTTGAAGAAGTTGCGATGTTTTTCTATGTAAGAGTCTTATGAATCATCAAATAGTCCTTACCGTAATTGGATATCAACTTCTTGGTGTGAAATTATAGCATACTATTTTTTGAATATGATCTTCTTTGTGTGAAATGATTGATTCATCCATTTTATGTGAATCCACTATACTAATTTACAGCGTAAAATTAGTTCTACATTAGTTTTTGAAATACACGTGGAGGAGCTCCTAGAATATAGTGGGTAACAATTAACGTATGCTGCAACTTCTAAAAGGGCTAAAAATTTTCAAAAATGAGAATCTTGAATGGAATGAAAATTATTTCATACAGTCATTCTTTTCCTTTTTATTTTTCCAAGTTAGCCAAACATGCAAGTAGGTTTTCTTCTTTACTGAAGTTGGAATCTACGTATGGCTTTGTATGCAATTTTTATCAGTCCCGCTAAGTCATTCGAACTAACTGTTGTTATAAGCTCTGTAATTTAAGTTTTTGAACATGTGGCTAACATGTGTGAATTTTAAGGTATTCTCTTGGAAATGAAGCATATTTTACTGCCCTAAACTTACTCTCATTTTTCGAGATGAAGTTGACGTCTCGAACAAGGTTAGCAAAATTGAACATGAAGATGGCCCTTTAGTACCTGAAAAATACTTATTGCAGTCAATCAATATTGATTGCTAAACGCTAACGACACATCCACAGATGATTGAATTTATCACTATTTGCCCGATTAGGAGAGTGAACTAAAAAATCATTATATATTGTAAATTACACAGCTTTGTTTGAGGAAAATATAGAATTTTGAACCATCAGAAATAGAATGTGTAAGTATTTTTGAGATTATGTATTGATGGTATTATACCAAGAAATTGAAAATACACAAAGCATAAACGAGATTTCACTGTGAAATGTTACAGAAACAAATTGAATATTTGACACAAGATTTCATTGACTCTTGGGCTCAGAAAATTCATTGTACCCTTTTGTACATTTGTAAAGCACCCAAGAAACCCCAAGACCCACAAAGGAAACTCGGATGCAGCTACTTCGACGAGACCGAATAGAAAAACCCAAAACATATATCAACTATATCTTCATTCAAAGAATCACTCAATCACACAGAAAGAATAGCTCCAAATCACAGAAGACTTCAAGGGAGACACGAAGAAGACGAAGGAGAAAGCAACCAGAAAGTCTGGGTTCTAGAGAGTTCAAGAGACGGAAGAAAAAAATGAATCGATCAGCTAGGGCAATTGATAAGACACACATATCTATAAAATCTCATTAACCGTCGATATAATTTAGAGGATCCAACGGCCTCGGAGCAGCACACATGGCCTATAGTTGGGCTTAGATTCTTGGGTTTCAATGAATGCGTCATCAGGCATTGGGTGTAGTATCTAAAATTAGGGCCTAACCCAATTTTTCATCATAGCTCAAATTGTTTTGGGTTCAACCAAAATTGGCATCACAATCCGAACAATCTTCACCTTGATGCCAAAGACACAAACATGGCCCAAAATAAAGAAAAATAATAATTTCAGCACATCTTTCATTTAGGTTCCTTAGTTCACTGTATCAAGATGGACCAAATAGCACCTGCAATTCACACGGAATTACCCAGTATCAGTTTTTAGAATTTTCAAACAAGATTTAAACTTGTTAAGAGGGAGTACCTTGGTTCCCATATTTGCTGGATTAAATTCAATTGGGATCTTTTCAAGTATAATAGTATTTTTGTGAATTATATCTCAAATAAAATGCATTCTAACATTTATATGCTTAGTCCTTTCATGAAATACAGGATTTTTACACAAATGTATAGCACTCTGGCTATCTAAGTAAACAACTAATGTGAGTGAAAGGACATTTAATTCACATAACAAACCTTTAAGCCATAATGCTTCTTTTATGGCTTCAGTGGCAGCCACATATTCTGCTTCAATAGTAGATAATGCAACAATAGACTATAATAAAGTAAACATGTAAGATATGGTTGATTTTCTATTGTCCTTGTCTCCCACATAATCAGAATCAACAAAACCCTTTAACATAATACCTTTCTTACAGAGATTAAAACAAGAACCCGTGTTAGAGGACCCCTTTAAATATCTAAGTAACCATTTTAAGGCAGTCCAGTGTTCAGGTCAGGATTGGCCATAAATCTACTTAAGGTATTGATAGCATGAGCAACATCAGGTCTGGTACACACTATAGTGTACATAACAGACCCCACAACATTAGCATAAGGGACTTTTGCATATATTCCACATCAGGTTCATTAACAGGGAACTGATCTTTACTCAAGTTAAAATGACTTGCAAGTAGTATAGTGACAGACTTTGATTCATGCATAACAAATTTAGATAACACTTTTTCCACATAGGCAAATTGTGAAAGAAAAAGAACTTGTTGGGATCTATTTCTCTTAATATCCATACCTAAAATTCTTCTAACATGGCCCAAGTCTTTGATCTCAAATTCAGAGCATAAAGAACTTTTAATGTCATTAATATCACTCATATGTTGGCCTATAAATAGCATATCATCCACATACATAAGCATGTAAACAATCACAAATTCATTTTAATTCTTTTAAAGTACAAACAATGATCAAATGAGGTTCTAAGAAAACCAACTGATGACATAAAGTTATCAAAATATTTATACCAGTGTCTTGGTGATTGTTTAAGCCCATACAAAGATCTTTTTAACAGGCACGCATATTCAGATTTTTAAGCATCAATAAAAACCATGTGGCTGACACATATAAATGGTTTTATCCAAGTCTCCATGTAAAAATGCAGTTTTTACATTCATTTGTTCAAGTTCTAAGTCAAAATGTGCCACTAAAGCAAGCATGACTCTTATGGTTGTATATTTAACCACAGGTAGGAAAATTTCATTATAATCAACCCTAGGTTTTGTGTAAATCCCTTTGCCACTAATCTAGCTTTATACCTGATAGGCTGTTTCAAATTATTTCTCTCTTTTATGTTATAAATCCACTTACAGTCAACTATGAATTTATCTTTAGGCTTAGGAACCAAAGTCAAAGCGTCATTTTTCAACAAAAAGTTCATTTCTTCGTCCATAGCTAATGGCCACTCTTTTGACAACCGACAATTCATAGCCTCTTTATATGTTTTAGGTTCTTTAAAGGCCAGATCTTGAAATGACAATAAGGCAAGAGACAGGTAGTCTCCCATCCTAAGAGGTTCCCTTATATCTCTTTTAACTCTATCCCTAGCTAATTGATAGTATTTTAAAGGATTTTCTACCCAACCCACTTCTTGAACAGGCATTTCTTCCTCTATTTCAGCTTTTGAAACATCTTCATTTTCAGTCTGAACTTCATCAGTAGGTTCAGCGGGTGTTCTAAGCTCCACATGCAGCCTAGTCTCTTCATTTTTATCTCTCACACATTCAGTTTCTTGATGTTTCTCAGACATGCAGGGCATGTCACACTTATTAAAGGTCACATTCCTAGTTGTGATCATTCTAAACCCCTTGACATTCCTATCCCACAACATGTAGCCTTTTACACCCTCAGGATACCCCATAAGAACACATTTTATGGATCTAGGTTCAAGTTTACCAACACTTTAATGGGAAAAGGCTGCATAACCAAAAGTTTTAAGGTGAACATAATCTGGGATTTTTCCGGACCACACCTCTTCAGGGATTCTACCATCTAAGGCACTAGAAGGGGTTCTATTTATGATATACACTCCTGTCATATTAGCTTCTCCCCACTGCACTCTAAGGACACCAGAACTGATCATCATACATCTAATCTTGTCTAGAATGGTCTTATTCATCATTCTAAACCCCTTGACACTCCTATCCCACAATAGCCTTTTACACCCTCAGGATACCCCATAAAAACACATTTTATGGATCTAGGTTCAAGTTTACCAATATTTTGATGGGAAAATGCTGCACAACCAAAAGTTTTAAGGTGAACATAATCTAGGATTTTTCCAGACCACACCTTCTCAGGGGTTCTACCATCTAAGGCACTAAACGGTGTTCTATTTATGATATACTGCTGTCATAGTAGCTTCTCCCCACAACACTTTAGGGACACTGAAATTGATCATCATGCATCTAACCTTGTCTAGAATGATCATATTCATCCTCTCAGCAACTCCATTTTACTGAGGGGTATAGGGAACATTTTTATGCCTAAGGACCCACTAGCCTTGTATAATTGATCAAAATCAGTATTACAGAATTCTAGACCGTTATCAGTTCTTAATATTTTGATTTTCTTCCTAGTCTGATTTTCCATCAAGGTTTTCCAAGCTTTAAATTTTTCAAAAGTATCTAACTTTTGTTTTAACAAAAAAAATCCAAACCTTCCTTGAAAAATCATCAATAAAAGATAGAAAAAATTTATTTTCTTCCTTGAGGAATGGTAGATGAGGGTCTACACAAGTCAGCATGTACATACTCTAACACAGAAGTAGTCTCATGCTTTCTAGTATTAAAGTGAACTCTATGTTATTTACCTAGAGTACAATGCTCACAAAATGGGATTTTTGAAATATTATCTTTTCCAAAAACACTTTTTTTACTTAAAATGTGCAGACCTTTTTCACTTACATGTGCTAACCTGTCATGCCATTTTAAGGTGGCATCAACTTCAGCAGTTGAGGACTCATCAGTGTGACTTGAAATTACCTTAGCTCTGGCACCCTTGAATATTACAAGTGAACCTTTAATTACTTTTAACAGTCCATTACCAAGCTTAGTTTGTAGGCCAATGTCATCTAGATTTCCTATTGAAATTAAATTTCTATTTAAATCAGGGACATATCTTACTCTTTCTAAGGTAAAGATATATCTATTTTCAAATTTCAAAGTCATACCACCAATTTCTAAAACTCTACAGGCTGTATTATTACCCATTATTACCTTACCACTATTTATTTCTCTAAAATTTTCTAACCAAGAACTTTTTGAAGTCAAATGAAAAGTGCAGCCAGAGTCAAGTATCCACTCTTGACTCTGGTCATTATTTTCAGAAAAATTAACAGTATTAAGGTCAGTAATGGGTTATGTAACAACATAAACATCCACAGTTTTATCTCCTAGGGGCTTTACTACGTTACCCTCGTCCACCTTCTTATCTCTATCTTCATTCTTTTTCTTGTAGCAATCTTTAATAAAGTGACCAGTTTTCCACATCCATAGCACTTCCTATTGTCAGTCCTAGAATTTGATCTGGGTCTTCCTTTCCCCCTCTTCTTGTTATTGTTATTTCCTTAATAACTCTGATTTTCATGACTATTACTTTGCCTAGTAAGAGATCTACAGATTCTCAGATTCCCTTCCCTGCCTTTCAAATTTAAGTTATAATTCTTTACTTCTTAAAGAATCTACAAGAACTCAGGGGTCAAGGCATCCCTACCATAATGGCAGTTTTAACATCTTTATAATCTTCAGGTGGTGAGTTTAGAAGAATGATAGCCTTGTACTCCTTAGAGACTTTCTCTCCATCGATGGTTATATCTTGAACTAATTTATTAAAAACGTCAAGGTTATCTTCTAAATCATTGGAATGGTCTAATTTAAAACTGAAGAGTCTTTCCAGAAAAAATATTTTATTTGGTATTGACTTTACTAGATAAAGTTCTTTTAGTTTATCCCACAAAACTTTTGCATTACTAAGTTTCCCAACCTTCTCAACACTTGGTCAGATAAATGCAATATGATAGAGGTATAAGCACGTTCATCAATTTCAGTTTTTTGTTCTTTAGTCATAGTAGTAGGAAATTCAGTAGTAATAGCTTTTGAGACTTTCTGTTGAACAAGGACGCCTTTCATTTTTTGCTGTCAAATGGGGAAGTCCCATTTTCCATTAAAAATCCCAAGTTCAAACTTAGTAGTTGACACTGGGAGTTCTTAATCAACACAAGAAAGTTATTTGAGGTTCAATGTTCAACTAAAAAGGTGGATACAGAATAAAATTTGACAACACTAAGACTCAGACAAGTTATTCAGTATCAAGAAGTTTCAAGAATCAAGAAAATAATAACACACAAAGTATTCAAAATATCAAGAAATGACAATATGATCAATGCAATACACTTCAGGCCCTAAATGCCCAAATTCTTTCGTGAAGATCATGCCTTCAGGTCAAGGCTCAATTTGGGACATCAAAACCAGAAGCAAAGAGGGATATTATGAGTGTATCACACTGAACCAATAAACGAATGCAGTTCACAAAATTTTAACTACAGACGTATATTATAATACACAGGAAGATCTATCAAGTTGTATAGCAATTTACAGCAACAACAATATACATGTAACATATACAACTGAAAACATATTGGATGTAATAAAGGAAAACTAGTGTCAAACCAAAGTAGTAGTCGTGAGTTAAGGTTACCAATAACCAAGAAAGCCTCAAGAATGATGTTGGTCACCCAAGAATCAAGTCTCGAACACTTAGTTTGCATAAAAAAAAACAGCCCTGTGAGAAACTAACCAGTCATCCAAAATAACCAATCGTTAGTGTAACATCAACACAAAATATGAACAAAAGTATGTAAGATCCGTTGACAAAGAACAGATCTAGGGTTTCTCCAAAAAAATCGAACATAAATGAACTCTTCATATCTGACTGTAAGAATGGATTTCTCACAACTAAGTCACCGTCGAACGAAGCCCTAACGCCACTGAGGGCTCTGATACCACTATTATACTAAGAAACTGAAGATACACAAAGTATAAACGAGATTTCACTGTGAAATATTACAGAAATAAATCAAACATCTGACACAAGATTTCATCAACTCTTGGGCTCAGAAAACTCATTGTACCCTTCTGTACATTTGTAAAGCACCCAAGAAACCCCAAGACCCAAAAAGGAAAATCGGACGCAACTACTTCGACGGGACCAAATAGAAAACCCCAAAACATATATCAACCTTTTTCCCTCTCAAAGAATCATTCAATCACACAGAAAGAATAGCCCCAAATCATAGAAGACTTCAAGGAAGACACGAAGAAGACGAAGAAGAAAGCAACCAGAAAGTCTGGGTTCTAGAGAGTTCAAGAGACGGAAGAAAAAATGAATAGATCAGCTAGGGCAACCCATAAGACACATACACACACATATATAAAAGCTCATCAACCGTTGATATCATTTAGAGGATCCAACGGCCTCGGTGCAGTACACGTGGCCTATAGTTGGGCTCGGGTTTTTGGGCTTCAACAAATGCGTTATCGAGCAATGGGGTGTAGTATCTAAAATTTGGGTCTAACCCAATTTTTCATCATAGCCCAAATTGTTTTGAATAATGCTCCTTGTACACTCCATGTTGTACATGGAGTTTGACATTGCTTGCAAATTCAAAATTGAATGAGTGGAAAAGTATTTTTCATTTCAAAACTGGTCATTCGTGTTACAAGAAGTGGCACAATGTCAAACTTAATGTCAAAAAAGTGTACATGTAGTAAGATTGAATTGTTTTTGGGTTCAACCAAAATTGGCATCACAACCCAAACAGATGGAATTCAATCCAATATTGAATTGCATAGTCTTTTACTATATTTTTGTTCTCTGAACTTTATGTTTATTGTTTGAGAAACAGGTTTCCCAGTTGAATGCTGTACTACGTCAGCTACTAATCTTTTATATTTGATCAAAGTTGGCTTTTATATTGCAGATGGGGTTGGTGATGAAATTTATTTCTGGGCAATATCCCGATTTGCATTTAAGTTCTGGTGATACAAAAGTATGAAATGGCATAGGGATGCACGTGTAGAGTATGACACAGAATATGATGTTATTGCATACAACAGAACTCTTGCATGGCGTACATGAAATAAGTTGATCTTTGTCACAAAAAAGAAACAGTTGAAAGTTTTGGTATTGTTATTATATTACTGTAACGTTATGAAGCAAAAAAATAAATTTGAAAAGTCTAATGTGAACAACTTGCAATTTAAAGAATAACACCTACTGAACAAGAACAAATCAAACATTGACATATCATAAGAAAACAGATTCAACATTCAATTTTAAAAAGAAATCTTCCAAAAAGGCATTACGAAACTGTGTCTGGGGCCCTTGTTATTTAATGAATTAGCCAACCCAGAATACTAAAATTTTCCAGAATTACTACAAATAGTGTGTAAAAACCGGTGGTAAACATTTGGATGACATCTAAACGTAATAATTTGGGTCCTTGTTCTACTCCTATGCATTATCCATTACTTCCTCTTCCTTTCTTTCTCAAGTTCCTTGACGAGATCTGAATCCATTTCATAATTTTTGGATCTTTTTTCATTTCCAAATTTGTACAGCTGGCACACCATGTGCGTTCTGGCAGTATCTAGAACGAATGATCTGTGTTTTTCATAAATAAATTGTAGTCGTGCCTGCATACAAATTGAATCCGAATATTATGAAATCACACGACCATGTAGTGCTATGCCTCCAATGATCAACACATGCTATTGTTAGATAATAGATAGCGGTATGTTGGGATCAAGTCAGCCATATTCAAATTCATTGAACAACACTAAATTACAAAATTCTGATGTCATCCCTATTGTGATGCATGTGTATGATAATGGAAGAAATTAATGAAATTGCATATATTGACATCAAGTGAATGAGTAGTATTACTATATATATAATAGTAATTTTGAAATTAAAAAAGTTGAAATGAAAATTGTAGTGATGGGTGTAGTTTCACAAATATGTATCCAAAACCGAAAGAAATCCCAAGAGAGGGTTAAAACTGACCACTCAGGCCCAATTGAGACCATATCTCAAGGTCTTGCAAATCACGTAAGTTGAATAAACAAAGAATACGTACTCTCCTTTCTCTCTCTGAAAAAAATTCATCAAACGGAAAAGAGGCAAAAAGCGAAACGAACCAGAGCCGTACGATTTAGGGTTCATACGAGATGCCGAAGAACAAGGGAAAGGGAGGTAAGAATCGCAAGAGAGGGAAGAACGAGGCTGATGATGAGAAGCGTGAACTTGTGTTCAAAGAAGATGGTCAGGAATACGCTCAGGTTTTGAGGATGTTGGGGAATGGCCGATGTGAAGCCATGTGCATCGACGGCGTCAAGCGTCTCTGCCATATCCGTGGTAAAATGCATAAAAAGGTCTGGATCGCCGCCGGTGATATCATTCTTGTCGGCCTCCGTGACTACCAGGTATTATTATTATTATTATTATTATTATTATTATTATTATTATTATTACTGTTTTGATTTTTCTATTTTGAAGAAATTGAGATCTTAGGTTAATTTAATTTTGGCTCTGTGTATGGATCAATTGGTGGAGTTAGGGTGAATTTTTTTTTTTAAAAATGACCGTGTGTGTCCTAGTCAGCTTAGCCTCACGTTTACATTTACATAAATATAGTTTCCTTTTTTCCCAATTTTTCTTTTCATTTTGTTCATTAATTTTTTTGCAGTTTCAAACTGAGTTTTCTACTTCTATAGAGCTCAACAGTTAAGTGGTTGTGAAAATAAAAATGCACTTTTGAATTCATATAATTTCTCTGCGTGTTCTTATTGGAATATTCCAGCTTTATTAATCTTTTAATTATTGTTTTCTGAGTTCAAAAGTATCGGGGAATTCTATTGTATGTATAGATTTTGCAAAATGAAGTTATCAATCTTTTATTGTTTTGTGAGTTCAAAATTATATTTGGGAAAAATTGCTAATGGATTTTCTGAATTTTCTAAATACCGCAACCATTTGCTTTAGTTTTTCCATGAGCGATCAAAGAAGGAAAGTAGAAAAACTTATGCAAATAAAAGTACATGTTTGAAGAAACTGGAGAAATATTTCAACTCCTTAATTGTATTTCTGCACTGTTTTCGTCGGAATTTGTTACATGGCTTCAAATCTGAATGAAAGATTTTTCCGAATTCAAATACTGAGGCTTATATGTTTCAATTTGGGTGGAGGATTGGGTACAGCATTCTATTTAACCACTTCTTTGATTCCCCTAGGACGACAAGGCTGATGTAATCCTGAAGTACATGCCAGATGAAGCCCGGTTGTTGAAGGCCTATGGTGAGCTGCCAGAGAGCACGAGGCTCAACGAGGGTATTGCTGGTGGACTTGACGAGGAGGAGGATGGTGCTGGTGACGATTACATTGAATTTGAGGATGAAGACATTGACAAAATTTAGTGACTTTGTCCTTCCAATTTATAATATACTTTCGATGCTTAAAATCCAAATACAAATATAGAGTGATATACATCTTACGTGTAATGTTTCAAGTGATGTATTATAATTTATGTGACATTGATGCAATAATATCGAGCTTCTTTTTTTTTTCATTTTCATGTTTAGTTTTTTGAATTGCTGGTCAAATCGCTCAGCCCTATTCATCTTTGGTACAAGAGCACTTGATTAGTGAGCTATGACACACATTTTCAAGGATGGTTACTTATGGACAAACGTCTTGATTGTCTCCGCATTCCAACCCATTAGGGAATTTTTTGTGGGTCGGCATGTGTGTGTCGGTTGTGTAACTAACAAATGGTTATGTCCTGTACCAAGTGTCTCTGGCTTTGCAAAACATGGTCATAGCTAGTGAGAATTTAGATCTGCGTTGGCCTTAACAGCTAATTGTTGGAAGAGAACAACACGTAAAGGAGGTCTGTGGGCTTTGTCAAGGGCTAGTACTCGACCAGGATTTAGCCGGCCTTAAAGAGGCAACGAGATAGACCTTGTATCATCAGGACAAACAACACTGTTGCCCCTGATAGATGGTGTAATCGCTCACAGGATAGCAGCTGTCCATGCTTATCGAGTACTATTATGCCTTGTTCAAGAACGGTAGTGACTGTAAAAGTGAAGACTAGAAACAAGATTTTGGGGACTAGAATCTTTTGCTTTCCTTGAGAAGCGCCAGTTCGTATAGATGAGTTGTGTCACTTGCTTCAGTATCGGCTATAAGCTTACATTGTTGAGGATGAGAATTAAAACAGGAATATAAACGAGCTTGGGTGAATTGGACCACACCGAACACGGTTAAAGAAGAAAAAGACATTTAAAACTTAGTGCAATCTAGTACTACATAACAAACATGCATTTGTGCAAACTCACACCTAGTTCATTTAGTCATGGCAGAAGACAGCGTAAATGCACAAGCCATGGCCATCAAAACCCAACCTGAAGAGTATATATCATTCTACAGAGCTGCAAACATTATTCAGTAGAACTTAGTTTACTTTTGTCCATCTAAGCAGGGGGTTGAGTATGTTAAATAGGAGACTAGGTCTCGTTCACTACCCAGCAAAGATTTCAAGTTCATTCATAAACAGCACTGCTGAAACGGGAGATCATCTGCATCGCCAATATTGAACTCATCAATAAAGTGAACCTCAGAGGATCATCAACAAGTAATTAACCATGTTCTTTGCACACAAAACAAGCAAGAAACATAATATAACATAAAACACCAGAAAATCTACCTCTGGCCTCTAAAAGCTTCGTGTTCCTCCACATAGTAGGAATGAAATGACGTTACATAATGAACGATGCTATACAACTCTGGATATCAGTACGATAACCACATTTCAATACATCTAGTAAACAAGAACGACAAGGAAAACTACTATATTTCACTTGTGCCATCTACTGTACTGCAGTTGATGCAGCCCACAAGTTTTATTTTGAATTTTTTGTGATTTGAATATTCTTATGGTAGTTTTGAAATTTCCTTCTCATGTTAGAATTGTATAAAAGGAACCTTGAGCTTTGGTTTTCGAACTATAGTTCTCATGGTATTTCAAAGATTTCCAAGCACTAAAACTGAGGTATTATTGTAAAAGCAAAGCTAGGGTCTGATGAGAGGGAGACTTATTGGATAAACATTTTTGTCTTCCTCAATTGTCTTCAAATTCTTGGTATTCTATGTCAATCAACAAGTCTGTATTCCCAATATTATGTGTGAAACAAAAAGTTTTTAATGCCTATTTCTTGATATTCATGAGTGGATCAACAAAAATTAGAATTTGTTAATGTATTGAATTTTCCATGTTACATTTCCATTCACGCGTCCCCTCATCAACACGACTCATGATGATATTCCTGATAAGAAACTCCCCGCATCAGACAAGGAGCACCAGAGAGTCGGTCTTCAATTGTAAAGTCCTACAAACTGTCTAGTTAAGAAGAAAAAGGATTAGAGAGTGGAATTGACTCTCCAAATGTTGAGAGCACATAAAACTTTTCATAAATTTTCCCTCCTTTTTTTACTTAGCTTATCCCTATTTTATTTTGTCATTTTTCCTTTATTTTAAAAGAAGTGTATGAAAAGTTATAAAAATAACAAATGAAAGCACTAAAATATTACACAGTCTTCCTAAATTTGAAGAGTCAAATTCACTCTCTAATTTAAATTTTAAAATTGGAGAGTTTGTTGGACTCTTCCAAGAAAAAGGTGTTGACTTCCTAAAATAAAGAGATTAAGCCAACAAAAAGCCTATGGAGATGCTCTTATGGTATAATAAACAGCTACGGGCATATCTATAAAATTGACTTCCAATGCAATGACTCTTGTATAAAGTTACGAGAGCAATACAGATGATTAGGATAGACTATTAAGTCATATTGTGCATATGTATATTTCATGTGAAGGTCCCAAGTGCTTCTATTTCTCCAGGGTCAATTTGTCAAATAGCACACTGAACTCTTAGATTCTGCGGCTCGAACATTTTGCTTTTATCACTTTGAAGTCATTAAAAATCTCAAATTTGAAGTGCACTGTGCAACACACATCCAGTGGCACTTCACAATCAGGACTTTCAGCAGTTCGCATTATCATTAAACATTACAAATCAATGAATAGTATGACGATTTTTGGTATTGCAGAGGACCTACAAATCCTCAGAACTATCAGAAAATAGCTAAAACGTGCTGAAACTACAACTTTGATTTCCTTACTCAAGTTCCTTATTTTGTCCGTTCAAAAAAGGAATTTTATATTAATAGCTTCTCTAGAGAGAGAGAGAGAGAGAGAGAGAGGGGGGTGGGGGGTTATGCCTATAGTATCTGCTTAAACCAACAAACGAAAGGCTTCAGAGGACTCACAAATCACTATACTAAAATTAGTACCATATCATTTGAAGTAAATTTGAGAATTATTTACATAAAACATATTGAACTCCCAAACTGTCATTTCTGTATCCTTTCTAAGGTTCACTTGCTATCAATTTTGAGGGTTCAAACCCCCCACCCTTACGCCTTTCCTTTCTTCAGGAAAATGAAAGAAAGAAACAGCCCGACGAGGGAGTGCAAGCCTCAACAACCGTAAATATAAATTACAGAACAACATTATCAAAAACAAGCCTGATTCACACCAAGCCTATCCTTGGTAAAGCTTTCAATTTAGATTCAAATTTGAAACTTGGGCTCAAACTGGCTGGGAATGAACATATATGCACAACATCAAACATTATCAAGTACAATTCGAGGTACAACTCCACTCAGCACGTTGGCTAGCAGTAAATAAATTTTAAATTGTAGATTCACAAACCACATCTAATATCTTAGACCCAAATGAGACTTATTGATTTGTCTTATTTATGGTCCATGTAACTTTAAAACTTGACAGTTGCCATGTCATAACATAAAAAAATATATATTCTTACAACTAAAAGAAGTGCATATGATAATGCAAAATTTTATACTTAGAGATAATACAGTTAGCAAGGCTTCCAAGCATGCTGTGAATTGGAAAATGATAAAGAGTTGAGCTTCAAATCACAGAGAAAAATATTGCTCAATCGTGTCTCCGCAATTCACTAAGCAAAAGACTTGATACCGTTAACTAATGGAATAACAGCAAAAAATGTAGGACGTCAAGGACAATACGATATCAATAAACACATATTTAAATGGGAAAATCTTATGATGTGACAATATTCTTGTACCATGGTCTAAAGCAACTGAAATTGACACTATACTAAATGCGTTCTGGGAAAAAAAAAACAAAAAAACAAAAAACAAACTCTCAATGCGCAAAGAGAAGTTAAATAGAAATCCCTGACCTCGCATTATCTGAGCTTCTCTTTCCCAGCACTCTTCCTAGCTGCCTCGTTAATCTTTTCAATATAGCCTTCAATAGGTGGCGTCAATGTCGCCATAAACCTGTTCACAGGAAAAGGTGTCAAATCTGGTACCAAAGCAGCTGCCTTCAAGTTCTCAGGCAATGCCTCAATTGCTTCCTTCTTCAACCTTAAGAGTGTTGACTCTGCTGCCTGTCTTGCTCTGTGTTTCCTCATCAAAATTCTACTATACTCTTTTGCAAGCCTCCGCCCGTCCTCAACAGTCAGCTCATACTTTGGAATTTTATCAGCGTCAACTGCACCTAAGGTTATCAAATCCATACCTGGAGTCCCAAGTATCATTGGTGAATCATAATCCTTTCCTTTCTTCTTCAGCTTCTGAATCTCCTGCTCACGGGCTTTGCTTATGAGCCCCATTTTCTCTCTCTCAGTTTCCCTCGCCTTTTCTTTAGGCTTCAAGAATCTGACTGGCGAAGTTGCACTCAAGCATTTATCAACCATTTCGTCAAATTCACTTCTCCTTCTAGGTCCTTCTGTTGGAGAAGAAACTGCTGAGCCTTTTTTAATAGTGACCTTTGATCGCTTCAATGCCTGTCCGGCTTTGATTTTGCCCTTCCCCTTTGCTGTTCCACTGACGGAGCATCTTTGAAAATATTGATAGCTTAACGACTCCAAAGATGATTGCAAGGGCAATAATTTCTTGATTTCAGTAATTCGCATCATCTTTCACTAAATCGACCCAATCCTATAGCCCCTATTTTCTCTCTTGGGCAGAAACAATGCAGGTAGTCAAATTTCTGTTGGTACAACACAAAAAGGTAGAATTTTGAACCCGATTCCAATTAGACGAACAAATTTATTTCATATAGATGGAACAAAAACTGTATCTATACATATATCAATATTCAGCATCATGTGCAAGTAGATGAATTAATATCAGCTGTAAACATCCATCCTTTTCTCAAAAAAGCTGAAAAAAACATAAAAGACAATATAAAGAAAATCGTAAATAATCATACAGAAAACCTAAAACAAGAAATGTAAGAAGTGACCATACGTATATATATATATATATCAATATCTGGGAAGGCCGCAGAGGTACCGGTACCGGTGGCGGCGGCGAATTTTAGTGTAGTGATGACTCTTTTGAAACGTGAAACTTCAATTCTAGCAGGGTTTTTCTATGAATTAGGGTTAATTTTGCACATTTGCCTTTTCCCCCTCTATATTTCACAAAATTGTAATATTCAAAAAAGTGTGAAGTATTCTTTTCTAATCCTCTTGAGCAAAAGTTCTTTATTTTATTATTATTATTATTTTTTGGGGGGCCTATCCTTTAAAAACAAAAGAATAAAAGGGGTTTGCACCTAAATCTAAAACGGCCCGTCCCGTTGGTAAATTTTTTGGGTATATCGTTTCGGAAAATATAAATAAATCCCTTTTTATCTTAAAAGAGAGAATGTAAAGTTTATTGTTCATTTTTATTACATAATTTTTTACATTAAATTAGTTTGACAACAGTGAATTATTATATTCAATCACACTTTCACAAGCCTTTCACTACAATGTCACTTCCATTACAAAAATAGCAAAAATTTATTATAAAGTTTTTAAATAAAATTTAAAATAAATATTATTTAATTTAAAGTTAACAAATGTTGTTCTATCATAAAGAATGTATAAATATTATTTTATTAAACCAAATTAAGCAAATAAAATAAAAGAAAGTTACAAAAGTTAAATAAATAATATATAAATACTATTTAATTATTTATTAAAATTGAAAAAAATTAATTTTTTTTACCATAAAAGAATTAAGAATAATTTTATATCGAAATATAATATGAACAAAATTATCCCTCCTAAAAATTAAAAAAACCGAACATTCTCGTAATAAAATATTTTTGCATGTAAATTCAAAACATTTTCCTACCTTATAACATCACGTACTCCAAAAAATCACTATAAAAAAAAAAACCCCCCCTAAAAAAAAAAAAAAAAAAAAAAAAAAAAAAAAAAAAAAAAAAAAAAAAACTCTCCACAAAAAGATAGTCTCTCATTCCTTTTAGAAGGAGTGAAACCTCTGCTTTCATAGAGTTTCCTCTCAAATAGGTGAAAAAAAAAATTTCTTATTTATTTGTTTTGTTGATATTATAGATAATTTTGTCTATATAAAATTTTTGATTTTTACTTTTTTTAATTATAGTAAATTTTTTATTAATATTTAATTTTAAAAAATTAAATATATCTAAATATTTACTTAAAAATGTTGAAGTTAATATTTTTTTAATCTATAAATAGCTTTTACAATTATAATTTTTTTATTACTTTTAAATAATTTGAAGTGATTATTTTATTTATAAGTAACTTTTTACATTCTAGATAATGTAATCTTTTTATAAATATTTAATTTAAAAAAATTAAATACATCAAAATATTTACTTAAAAATCCGTGCATAGAGTGAAGCGAAAAAAAATATTATGTTTTGGAATTTTTTCTTATTTATTTATTTTGTAATTTGTTTTGTTGATGTTATAGATAATTTTTTTTTATTTAAAATTTTTATGAATTCTTTTCTCTTTTTTTTATGATTGAAGTTAATTTTTTCAATTATTTTTATCTCTTTGTGAAATGAGAATTTTTTTTCTATTTAAAATTTTTTCAATATTAATTTTTTTATATTTAAAATTTTTTCAAATTTTTTCTATTAGTGAAGGTGGAAATTACTGATTTTTTTGCACAAAGCTGGATTGTTTATTTTTGTCACATACGTTTTCACATTCAACTGTTTTGAAATAGATTTGGTAAAATTGGTTTGGTTTTTTATTATATTATAAAAAATATAAAGTAATTTACCATTTATCACTCTTTCAAGTCACTCATTCTCCATCATTCAATTCAATCGTTTAGTTTTCATGAACAAAAAAAAAAAAAAAAAAAAAAAAAAAACACCCCAAATTTTTTTTTTTTTTTTTAAAAAAAAAAAAAAAAAAAAAAAAAAAAAAAAAAACACTCCAAATTCTTATTTCTTTTTGTGGGAAAAAATATTGCGCAATCCTCATCTCAATTGTAGGGAAGAAAATCGTAGAATTTGTGATGATTATCTTTGGGTATGTTCTTGCAAAATTATTATTTTTGTTTGTATTTCCTTTTTTTAGTTTTTTAAGATTTATTTAAGGTATGTAGTTTATATTTTTATGTATAGATGAAAATCTAGCTTGTCTCATCTTCCTCTACCTAGATGTGAGGTATGTTCTTGTCTCTGTATATACATGAAAATTTAACTGGAGTTTTATTTTTTCTTTGATATGGCCATGAAGTTTATGTTTTTGTTTGATGTTTGCTTTCTTGTGGATTTATTTCTTATTTTCTTCAGCTTTATGTAATGTAATATATGTTTTTTTTTTTTTTTTTTTTTTTTTTTTTTTGGTTTTGTTGAGTGCATGAAAGTTAGTTAGGTCTTTTTTTTTTTACACTTATCTACTTGAGAAGCTTAAATTTTTTTATCATTATTTTTTACATATAATGAGGCTTACAAGAGTTTGCTTTAGGTATGTTTGGAATCTTTTTGGTCCAGATAGTAGTGTTTACAGTTCTGTTGTCGTTTGCATTTATAAAAAGGATTGTTGATTTGTTCAGTTGTTTAAAGACGTATATATTGCCCATTTGTAATTTCTTTAAGAAGTGAAAAAGAAATTTATAATATGAACAAAACAAAATTAAAAAAAAAATTATGTAATTAAAAAAAGTTAAACAAATTAAAGTTAGAAAATGAAACAAAGAATATATTAATATTATTTGATTAAAATTGAAAAAAAAAATTATCATAAAGAGAAAAGAATTAAAAAGAATTTTTTAAGTCCAAAATTAAAAAAAATTATAATATGAACAAAATAAATTTAAATAAAAAATAAGGAATAAAACTCTTCGTGGACGAAGGAATCTCTCCTTTTGAAATGAGTGTTTCAATAGATGAAAATTTATTTTATTTGTCTATTTAATTTTTAAATTTTTTGTTTATATTGTAGATAAATTTTTTTCTATTTAAATTTTAAAAAAATTTTCTCTTATTGAATTTAATTTTTTTAATTATTGCTTTTCTCTTTTTCAAAGGACAATTTTTTTCTATTTAAAATTTTTTCAATATAAATTTATTCAATGTAAAATTATTTATTTTTTAAATTACTGATTAATTTATTTTTTAATTTTTTTGTTGGTGTTATATATAATTTTTTTCTATTTAAATTTTTTTTTAAATTCTTTTCTCTTTATGATTGAATTTAATTTTTTTAATTACTGCTTTTCTCTCCTTCAAAGGAGAAATTTTCTTCTATTTAAAATTTTTTCAATATAAATTTGTATGATTTAAAATTATTTCAATTTTCTTCTACTAGTAAAAATTATTGCTTTTTTTTTTTTTTTTGCACAAAGCTTAACTCTTCATTTTTATCAATACTATATTGAATCATTCAATTTCAAAATTAATATCACAAATAGCTTACCTCAAATGATTATTTTTTTAATTAATTGAATCGCTTCTTTTTTAAACACCAAACTCATATTAAAATTAAAAACGTTAATATGACGTTCAAAATAATCCTGCCCGTGCGATAGACTAGTAAAAGAATAAAGAAGTTTGTACTAACGGAGCAACTTATCTTCGACATAGATAATGAGAGGTAGGGATTAGGAGATTGTATGAAAAGTCCATCCTAGACTAACACTTTAGAGCTGTGACTTTTTATTACAAGGAAGCATAATTGTTTTTAGATTAGTTTCGACGTATCTAACGTTGCATGTATTTGATTATTTGTTGTTTATTTTGTTATGTGGATAATAGAATGTTCATTGACAGCTTGTCCAGTGCACCTAACAACCAATGGTTTATATAGCATTTTTTTTAAGTAAATTTGACATTTTACATGTAAGAGTGGCCACTATGTTAATACTTTCAAAAAGTTTCCATTGAAGGCCAAAAATAACCGTGAATAACTTACTGAATATTTATTCAAATATAAACAAAATCAAGTGCATTAGAAATACATAGGCCTACACTTCATCACAACAACACATGCCTCTTGTACAGAATACGCAACTGTTGGAATGATGATTATATGATGAATTTGGCACTAGATAGCATACAATCACTCAGTTCCAGCAATCTTCTTCTTCAAAACTTCAATGTCTTCTGCCAGTTCTTTTCTACTCGACTGCAAAAATAAAATATGACGAATTAGCATTAGAAATCTATGCGTTTTTCCAAATTATGGGATTTAGAATCTGAATGAGGAGAGGCATTTACAGAATAAGAATAAGTGTCCATGTGGAAATGGTGTGCCAAAATTGGGAATGAAAATATATGTTAGCAAAAAGAAATTCTTCGGATCACAGAAACTGATAATTATTAATTTTTCAAAAGATCCTTTTTATAATAGTCAAGGCGAAATATATCCCCCCAGTCAAATTTTGTCTAAAAAGCCCTTTTTTCCTTTCAAAAGTCACTTTTATCGTCCTCCACTGCCTGCCTCCTTTCGCTTCTTACTCACAGCCAGGAGAGCTAATCGAGTGCTCCTGGTTAAGGCAACAATGAGGGGAGGGGTGAACGGGGATGGGAGAGGTGAAACAAATAAGGGCAGGGAAAGGACACAGATCTGGGGAGAGGTGGAGGCAAGGAAGGAATCTGATACAAGGGTGTACTGAAATTTTAAGCTGATTTAAACATGCTCTAAGCCTAAAAAAGATTAAAGTTAATTTTATCCAACTTTATTAGCCAACATTTCTGAGGTTTTACAGAAGTTCTTTGGGAGTTTAGTTGAAGGACTAGCTTTTTCAAAAGTGAAGTCTTTACTTTTTATGCACTTTCACTTTTTTTAAGGCTTAGCTGAACATGCACTATATCTTTTTTATCTTAGAATCCAGCTTGAGATACACAAGAGAGAGACGAGAAAGATATCTGTTTTTATTTTATATTCATAGAAGCCAATAAGTTTGCAGAAGGTTTATGGCCGCTAACTAAAAAAGCATTTTTTATGCATTATAGCCCACACGAATGGAGAAATCATACCTTGAAAAGAAGGTAACGGTACACAAACCATCCAGTGTATCCGAGACCAACCAACTCCATGATCTTTGGAAGCTGAAATAAATTTTAACAGACAATATGATACCTCAGATTATTAAAAGAATATCAACCAAAAAGTAACTGAATTTTTCTCGGATTTACTATTTGTACAGAATTTTTTGCCATAATTGTTTACAGATGCTGTGGTGGCAGCAAAAACTGTTTTTTGCAGCTGACATCCAATGACAGAATGCCAGCATTCAGTCAAAATTTACTTAAGTTTTTCTATACATATAACATGCTCCATTTTTTATACAATCACTTTGCTAGTTAAAATGGTAACATAGGAGAAGAACCCACCAAAGGGACCGAGTTAACTGCGCCAACAATAATGGAAGCTAACCAAGTTGCCAAAATTGCCCCTACTCCATAAAGAAGTACTGTAGACTTGTTTTCAACAGCATCCCACTTCAAAACGCGATGTCAAGAGAAGAGTCATCGAACAACAGGAACATAAATCTGAGAATAAACAAATTGAAGAGGAAGCCAAAAAACTGTTTTTGCAAAAATGACGTGTAGTTACCTTTTCTTTTAGGTCTGTTAGTAATTCATTAGCATCAACTGCAGATGTCTCGTCTGATGATGAGGCTTTGACCAGGAGACAAGAAGACCTCCTCGACTCTGTTTAAAAATAAAACTAAGCTACATAACCACAGAAATATCAAGAAGTGAAAGGCCTATTTAGAGAGCAAGCAAAATATGACCTTTGTAAATGGAAGTATGTGATTTGAACATTAAACACTTGACATTCACTGATTATCTTAATCCAAGGGATAATGAAAAGGAGAACAATACGGAGAGACATTCGCATTCATTTTTATTAGGGAAAATTGCAGCCGAGGTACCAAACCTTTCGTTTATTAGCAGACTTTGCCCAAACATTTAGTTTGTGCCACCGTGAGTACCAAACCTTTAAAAAATATGCAGCTCAAGTCCGTATTAATGGTTTCCGTCAGTTTGACCCGAAAAATTGTCAGTTGACTTCAAAAATTAAAAATATAATAATTTTGACCACATAAGGTAAGGGTAAAATTGTAACTCTATAATTTTAATATTAAAAAAACAATTAAAAAGGGAAAAAAAAAAAAAAAACCATCTCCTCCTTCATTTTCCCCATTTCAGACTCCCCATCCAAGCCAGGGCTTTCTTTCCCTTGTGAAATTACATCGGCAGTCGATTTGAGCACCCCATCAAGGACCTGTCCAATGGATTCAAGCGAACCTTGAGTAGCCGACGCACCAGACTCGAGCGAAGCCGGGAGTTCCTTCACAGCACGGCTTGCGGATGACCTCTGACTCCTTCCTAAGACCCAATCCGAATTCCCTAAGATCCCGCCTATATGCCTCTAGCACCGACTCGGATTGCGTCGCAAAAGTCTTGATCAGACCCCCAAAACTCCACCCATCGCCACTATTACCAGATGAATCAGACAGGCTTTTGGGTGGCGGGTCTGTGTGAACTGGATCCTGATCAACATCATCGGGATCCTTATTCCTCTGCGGTGGGGATTCGAATTCCGGGTCATGGGGGGTTTCCGCGTTTTAGTTTTGGAGAATCTGAATCCTCTGACAGAATGGATTTGAAGAAATTCCTAGTGTTGATTAAAAATGAATTGAAGGATCGAGCACTTGAGTTTTGGCCATTGTTAGAAAATCAGGTAAGACCCGAGGGTGGTGGTGTGGGCGGATGGTTTTGATTCTGGGGTGAGGGGATTGGGGAAGATGAAGGAGGAGATGGTTTTTTTTTTCCCCCTTTTTAATTTTTTTTTAATATTAAAATTATAGAGTTACAATTTTACCCTTACCTTATGTGGTCAAAATTATTATATTTTTAATTTTTGAAGTCAGCTGACAATTTTTAAGCTCAAACTGACGGAAACCGTTAGTACGGACTTGAGCTACATATTTTTGAAAAGTTTGGCACTCATGGTGGCACAAACTAAAGGTTTGAATAAAGTCTGCTAATAAACGAAAGGTTTGGTACCTCTACTGCAATTTTCCCTTTTTATTAAATAATTTCACTCTGATTGTGCAGGATCAGAGCCTAAAGTGGTGTTTAGAGAAACTCTCAGTATACAATCACCTAAACAAGTATTAAAATTCTTACTCAAAGCACATGAAACTTCCCAATAGGGAATTATCTTCGGACAATGGAGTTTAAAGTTTCAATTTCTCGGATCAAAATTACACATTATGATTTGATCGACAGGGAAAACTCTTGTATAAATAGCCAAAGTATCATAATTTATAACAAAAGAACTTAATCCTGATCATAGTCTTCATTTCTCTCAATGCCAGTGAATGTCAATCATTTTGAATTCTCAATATCAATACGAATCATATGAGAACTATCTTATCGTATGTAGCTCTCAAAAAAGAAAACTTCAAGGTCTTTGGCAAATTAATCTCGTTCATGAGAAGAAGAATCTGTGAGAATTAATTCGTGCATTGCTACTTATAACTATCGTAGACTCGTCTTATTGGTTTCAAATTCTGCAATCCATCATATCAGCCCTTTCCACGCCACTGAAATTATTACAATTATAAATGCTGGTTTATCAAGTACGCACAAGAAAAGAGGATTATGCAGAGCATAACATTGACAGGGATTAAAAAAAAAAAAAAAACAACAAAAAAAAAAACCACTGAATATACTAAAGAAACAATAACAATTATTACTAATTCATCTTTTAAGATATTCCTGAAAAGTAGAAACCTAAGTGACGAGACTATGCGGAGCATAACACAATTTCAGAACCTATGCAGTGTGGCTTTGGACACTCACATTTAAGCACAATTGTAATAACTCCAAGATTTTATTAGAACTCCCCCAACAATCCAAAATCCCTCTGTCACAAAAATGTGAAAACTCGTCCATCATAAAGAACTATTGGTCTAGATTGTTAGCTCTTGCTGATTATATGACATATTTATCAAAAATGTTTCTACCTAACCAAGAAACAATATAAAAGTTCATGAGTCAAAAAAATAGAATCAATGCCGAAATTTACTACGTAAAACTTAAGGATCAAAATCCAGTATTCAAGAAATCAATGGGGATCGACCATATTTATTGAGAAGATTTCACACAGACAAATTAGGACAAGAAAATGTTTCGATTTGGACAGAATTAAAAAGACACATATGGTAGAATTATAAGAACAGAGTACGACCTAATTGAAATGTATACATTAAATATCCGAGAACTATGGAACAAAGGATTATCCCGGAGCTATTGACCCAAAGAGAATAAATAAAGAAAAAGTCGAACTTTACCTGAAATTGGCCTGAAGGAAGTGGAGAAAGCTGAAGAAGAGAAACGGGGAGGCAGACACGGCAAGGGGGAGCTGTGGACGGTGGTTTTGGTGGGGAGACAATGTAGCGAGACGGCTGTCGCCGCCATGGAAGTGGAAGCTGCCGCTGCCATTTGACGGCTAACGACCAACGAAACTCCTCTCTTTTTTGCTTAGCCTCTCCTTTTCTATCTCTTTTGATGCAAAAATCCCATTTGGTGCAAAGATTTTCTTTGTAAATTATTGTTATCCACAATGATTTCTGTCTTTCCCGGATACAATACCCATATGATTTCGTTGCGTGACATGTGGAAATTTGCAGATTCTTGATTGGATGATTTTCTATCCTCATAATCTTCTTTGTCTTAACTTCCCCAATTTCGAACACAATCGACACGGGGTACCATGTGCTGCGAGCGGCTTGCAAGTGTTAGTAACAGTGGAAACGGACTGCAAAAATTGAGATTTAATGAACACCAATTTAAAGTATAATACAAGATCGTAAAATACCACTAACAAAATTAAAATAAAAGTTGAATTAAGCAGATGAACAACGAATTTTATTAATATGGAGAGAATTACAACTGAACAGCAACATACTTCAATAAAACTGATAGAGGAACTTTGTATTTATAGTACACGTGGTCTAGACCTAAAAAATTCTCAAAAAGATAGAAATATATAATTCAATTAGACTCCAATTTGAGTCACACTTCTAACAATCTCCACCTTGACTCAAATTTCGGTACAACGAACAAAACTCCTAGATTTCAAATTCGTCTGCAACAAAATGAACTAATCAATCTCCTCAACGCAATAACCAAACTCTCCATCACCAAACCATCGTCCGCTGCACGATGTCCACAAGCGGCACCCGAACCCAAAACCCGGGTTCCCGAAATTCCACCAAGGAATTACTATTGACCAAATAGGGTCGAAGCACACCCTGTAGCAGAAACCATACGACATGCTGGATCAGAAGGTCCCTTACCAATATTGTCACCTTCAATGATTTCTAAAGCATTACATACATCTTCAAAACTGTACCTACGCTCCATGAGTCCATTGACATCACAAGAACACAGTGTGTCCTCTAAAATTGGTGGCAAAGTAGAATCACTAACACTCCCTTGAGCAAAGTTCTTAACTGATCCAGAGCCAAACCCGAGAGGTACTGTATCAAATTGAATGTCTACCGCGATACTGAACTTGTCCAAATGTCTCTGAACTGGTTCTAAGCTCCCTTGTAAGATGTATAACTGGGAATTTCTCCATCCCTCCAGTACAACCCGGACACCCCTTCGAACCTTCAAGACTCCATCTCCACCAGAAAATTTGTACCCCTTTTTCATCCAAGGTATTCGGTGATATGAGATTCTTTGTCAAGTCTGGAACATGGCGAACATGATCAAATGTCCTCACTATTCCATCCTTTAGCCTCAATCTAACCCAACCAATTTCTGCAACCCGACAAGATTGGTTGTTTCCCATGACAACTCCACCTTATTTCACCGTCTCATATATTTGAAACAAAGTCTTATTGGGACACATGATACGAACAAGCAGAATCCAGAATCCACTCCTCGGGTTTGGATTCCCGTCAGACACAGCCAACATCACATCTCCATCATCATAATAATTTTCAGCAATATTAGTCTCATTCGAATTACCTGATTGCCCCGCATGATTTGCATGTAAATCACCTTTACCCTAAAACTTGTCCCAATCTTTCTTGAAGTATAATACAAGATCGTAAAATACCACGAACAACATTAAAGTAAAAGATGAATTACGCAGATGAACGACGAATTTTATTAATATGGAGAGAATTACAATTGGACAGCAATGATACTTCAATAAAACTGACAGAGGAGCCTTGTATTTATAGTACACTTGGTCTAACCCTAAAAAAGTCCCAAAAATGTAGAAATATATAATTCAATTAGACTCCTATTTGAGTCACAATTCTAACAGCAAACTCGTCTCACTAACGAGGTGAACTGGCTCGACTCATGTCCTAGGCAGAAAGCGAAGGAAAGCGAACAGCGAATCACTTATGCAACCTACTTGTCCGCTAGCGAACGATTCATATTTAGCTACAAAATGTAATTTTCGACCAAAAAAGACAAGTCACAAGTAACTTTTGAGTTGGCTAGAGAGGATCTTAAGGAAGAGGATTTTGTTTCCACCGAGCCAAAACAATATGTCAAACCAACCACAGCCCCACTACTTTTTATTCTATTAGAAATCATTGAATGAAAAACAATTTATAAAACTCCATTAAAGGAGAAGGGGAATTACAATGGAACACTCTATTAAAGGAGGAAATACACTTCATAATTAGAGGAAGAAAACACTCCATGAAGGAGGAAAGAAACCTCCATGGAAGGAGGGATTGGAAGATACTACACTCCAATGATCTAAAATTGCCTACACGGTGTTGTATTTATAGAGTAAAATGGCTAGATTAATTAACTAACTAATTGACTGATTAACAAGCTAATCATCTAACTAAGTAACAGGCTAACAACTACAACTGGAGATTGACGTTCTATTAAGATGGAATCTAAAATGAGCTAAAAGCTTCTGGATTCTTGGCTGGAACTGAACTGATGGAGGGACTCTGCTGATGTATGGTGCACATGTATTCCAACACGCCCCTCCTGAAGATGGACTATAAAGATCAACAATAGTCCATCTTGAAGATTAAAGTGTGAAACATGGATGCAAGTGCAAGTGCACTTAAGAAGCCTTCTTCATTTGCTGCTAAGAGCGGTAATGTTGTTGTTTCCAAGAAGAAAGAAAAGTTTGACTCTGACAATGAGAGCAGTTCTAATGAAGAAGATGTTATAGATAAGAAGAGAAATGAGTCAAGTGATGATTCTGGCTCGGAAGATGAGTTTAGCTCAAACGAGGATGTTGGTGCCGCTACAAATGGCTCGGTGGATTCTGAAACACCAGAATACGAAACAACGAAGGCAAACCATGTTGTTGGTATCAAACTGAAGAAGATGTGTTGAACTAGTGGATGATCTAAAGCCAAATTTATCTTCAAATTTCATCAACTTTTATACCAGTAAAATGCCAAAATAGAAGAGATCATAAATCTGCTTTCACTTGAGCAAAAACATAGAAAATGAGAGGAATTAAATCTTGGAAAAAAAAAAAAAAAAAACAGCAACAAGAAGCACTCTGCTCTGATGCCATATTAGAAATCATTGAATGAAAAACAATTTATTAAACTTCATTAAAGGAGAAGGGGAATTACAATGGAACACTCCACTAAAGAAGGAAATACACTCCATAATTGGAGGAAGAAAAACACTCCATGAAGGAGGAGAGAAACCTCCATGGAAGGAGGGATTGGAAGATACTACACTCCAATGATCTAAAAATTCTTACACGGTGCTGTATTTATAGAGTAAAATGGCTAGAGTAATTAACTAACTAATTGATTGATTAACAAGCTAATCATCTAACTAACTAACAGCTATAGAGATTGACGTTCTGTTAAGATGGAATTTGGAATGAGCTGAAAGATTCTTGATTCTTGGCTGGAACTGAACTGATGGAAGGAATATGTTGATGTATGGTGCATGTGTATTCCAACATGTTCCAAGGTTTGGCACTCTGTTGACATTTGTTTTTTTTTTTCGCTGAGAAAGCAACGTCTTTCCCGCTTCGATACTCATCCCTTGAACCCCAATGTTCATGAGATGAGCCAACTCGCAGGGCTAGTCAAGTTGAGCCCAAAAGTAGACGAGTCAAGCTACTCGACTCGCCTCACTACACCTCTGCGTTCAAGAAAGTTGTTAACTCAATACAATAATTGGACACATGAACCCAAATGGTTTCATTGCATGACTTGTGGAAATTTGAAGATTCCAGATTGATTGATTTTATCCTCTTTTTCTCAACTTCACCTTTTTTCCAGCACATTCAAGCAAAGCTGTCAACTTGACCCGATTGTTGACCTTTAAAAGGATTTTGAATAAAGTTCGGTTCAACCACAAGAAAATGGATTTTTCTTCGAGTTTTGCAATTCAAACAGGGCTCTAGCATATCTCCAAGAAAATTAGCCTTTGCTTAATTGGTTCTAGAGGTTTGCACAGGGTTAATCTTAAACACTTAAGAATCACACACGCCAAATACTCAATTAAACTTGATACTAGATAGTCGACTTAATTTAATAGATGATCCAATATTTATTTAGTAAATATATTTTTGACATTCTGCTTGATACTACGTAGAAATTAAATATTATAGACAAAACTCTATAAGACATTTCTTTTAAATATGTTCTTGACATTCTGCAGATAATCCATTAAAAATAAATATATTAGACAAAAATCTGAAGACCTCTTTCTCCATTATAATTTATAATATTTGTAAAGGGCATTTATAGATTATTATCATAGTCAACTTGTTCAGATTATTAGAGCTACAAATCACAAGTTCTTTCTAGGGGTTACTTCTGCTCTTTGATTTGGAAAGTCACTATTAGAATATTGTTCTATGTTAACGTGGAAGATATTAGGTCGAGAGTTTCAATAGGGAAAGAAAAAATTTGTATCAAATATATATTATACGTAATGAAAGTGTTAGCCATAACACAAAATGATCGTTACTTTACCATTGTTTATATTCGACCATTTTATAGTAAAATTACGTATTGACAATCCAATATTTTGTCCCCAGCCATTTCGGACACACGATGCAAATTTTATTTAAAGTTTCACACTCAAAAAGATCAATCGTGTAGAGGGTATCAATTCATTTTCTCATGACTTCTTTACGACATTCAAATTGATGTGTTATAGATACAATAGAATTACAGGCCTAATGCGTTCTAACATAGTGGCTCTTCGCTCACTTGGTGCCTTTGCCTGCTTTTCGTTTCATATGTTCCTTGAAAAAATATATATCAATATATTCATAGATTAAAGAAAGTCAAGCGTGAATAAATATTTACATAAACAAGCTCAATAATAGTCTCCACGTGTCAACTGGACAAAACATTACCTAAATGCTAATTACATGACTTCCATTTGGAACATCCAATTTTATATATAAAAATTACCTACAAAATGACAAGGGAAATATGATTTAAAAAGTCCTCTAGGTTCTTGTCAACAATTCCTCCATAGTAATTTGTTAATAAAAGATTAAACTTTCTATTGTAAAAACAAATATAAAAGAAGGAAATATTTTAATTTTATAATAATATGTTTTACTTGTTCAATGAAACAATAGGGGTTGTTGATAAGTCTA